GTTCATATCGTTTATCGCTATGTATATCCAACACCGCATCTGCCAGGTACCTATTACCTATGGCCTATGTGTAATAGGTATAAATATTATATAAGTAAGGTACATAGGTAATGATAATTACTCGGGACGCAACATRCCGACCGCTAAAATATTGTCGTGCCGCAAATAACCTATACCTAAAATATTATTGGGCCGAAATTCACCGGTCTCCAACACCGGAAACGACAAGTCGGGCCGCAACTCACCCACAGTCTGATTTTCTATCATATATTCATATATCATGTAATGGGGAATTTTACTATAAAATTTATCAAAAAACAAAACACATTGATTGCGTGAACGCGTTTTGTTCATGTGCGTAGACCAAATAGAAATAACAAACAGGTTACTGGGCTTTACAATATTACAATAGATGAAAAATTAAACATCTATGATTGGTATTAATACTTTTACATAAATATAATATTTGTATTTAGTTATTAATTACGAACATTAAAATATTTACTATATTCCCCTACTTTTTACTTTTTATAGGATTTTGGTTTCCAAATACATAGGTGGTACCTATTAAAATAATTCATTGTTGTTTTTTGGGTCTTCTTTGCAGTTATTGGTGACGTTCAATAAATTCTACAATGACCCCAAGATTTCTGACAAATGAAAACGCTWTTTCWAGTGTATGGTAATTTATAGTGTAACATAGTGCTATACCAACTGATATGGCTTTAACCTGTCACACCCCTCAGTTCAAATACATTTAAAATATATTACTTGTCTTTGTGTCTTTGTGTAGTATCTGCCTATAATATATCATAATATACTTGTTTCCCATCAACTTTTCTACATAATATAATACATCTACCTATAACTAAAATGAAAAATATACATATTTACTAACACAAATTACAACATTAAGGTACTTAAATGTCTTAAATATTTATTATAATTCTAACCATCGATTCAAAATTTATAAAACACTATAAGATTAACAAGATAACTAATGAAAGATTTTAAAAGGAATTAAAATACAMATTTTTAGATTGGCTAATTTTTATATTGGAGGGGTTCATCCCCTTAGATCTCCTCCTCCACMTTGCACCTTTGCTGATCCTGACTTCCATTTCTTTAACAAAATTTTGTTCTAATTATTATTTGTTATATCTTTCTCAATAATAATTTATTTGACTAAAGGAAGTACCAACTGCCAGAACATTTCAAATTCAAGGTTTTTGAAATATTTCGGAGATTCAGATCAGAAGAAAAAATAAAGGTATAAACTTTTTTATATTTCACTAATTTAATATATTGAAAGCATATCATTAACATGTGATCTATATAGATCGGTCCTATGACTGCAGTCTTTGAAGGCAATGGTCGAATTTTATTAAAACATTAACATTTAAAGACCTACCCAGGTGTGTAGCATTCAAAAACTATGTACCGTGCACTTAATGTTGATGAGGTACAAATAGGTTGAGTAATATATTATTAGAATGGAATAAAAAAWTTTTTTTTTAATTTGGTGCTTAATCAAGGACGTTACCAAAGAGTGGACAATTTTCCCCTTACAGCCCATTGCTTACAAATATAATGGTGATAAACAAATTCTAAAAATAGGAAAGGGATGGACACTATAACATGTGGTTGATAATTAGTTACCCCCGTGATCAAATTTCTAAATCACCCATCTATTTAATATAAATACATAATTATAATAATTATGTATCATTATTTATAGTACATAATAGTAATCTAGTGTAAAATATTTCAAAAGACTAGAGGTCAATATAAAGACTGTAGGACTCTGAATYTTGATGATTTAATTAAAGGTAAAAATTTTATTTTTTCCATAATTTTCTTTAAAGGCTTAAAAATAATAATAATATAAACATGGCATAGGTATTTATTGAGAATCATTAATTTCTTACTAAAATTCTTTAATTTTTTAGAATGCAGAGGAAAGTACTTTAAAGAGCAAAAAAATTAAAAAGCAATACAGCATTGGTTTTCTAGATTKCTATCACATGTAACTATTAAATACTAGAGTGATCATTTGTGACACTCTTTGTGAATTAGATACATTAAGTCAAACTACWAACTTCATAATTGTCAATACTAGTCACTAATATTTAAGTAACTCAACTATAGTTATAAATTTAAACAGAGAATATCAAAAGAAGTGACAAAACTGATACCACAATTAATACAATGTCATGCCCTGTGTCCAGAGATTAAACTTGTTCTACTACAGTTAAGTTATTAACTTATTTTACATTAACATACAGATAGTATGATAGTTTTAAGACAGAAATTCATTAAGCAATATGGTTTGGTTATAAAGGCCATTTAAACTAGAGTTTTTCAACATTCAAGTAGGATATTAACAGTCTACTTATAACAAAAAACATATTTAACATGTTACCCAATTTGAATATTGAATTTTCTATAATTTAAAAGCATATAGTACTCATTAGACATGGCATAATACATTTAAAATAAAATTTAAATATAAAATGAAAAAAATCAAAACTGATTGTTATTCACTTTATACAGAAGATGATTGATAAATTAATACTTAAAAAGTGAAATATTATTGTGAATTGATAAGTGTTAAAAATTATCATTTAGTAATATTCTCCCATAAAATATTCTATTGTATAATATTTTACATTGGTCCTTAAATTTCAATATTCTAATAAACAAACACAAAAATATAAAGTATAAAAACTTAAATATTTAAATTAAACAATAACTGTTTAAAACGTTTTATAATATGAAAGAAAAATAACTATAAAATCATAATAATTGATTACTTATATCAGTAATTCAAAACTATAAGAAAATAATTAAGCTATAAATAATATCTTATAAATAAAAATATGTACAATGTGCACAGTACACAAATCTGTAACTCAAAATCCATTTACAATAATGAAATAAATAGCGAACTCTTAAAAACTATGGTTCAAGTAAAATTATTTGTGGTCATTGTGTTAACTTTCAATAAATATATTACTAAGAGTCAACAAACATGTTAAAATTATGAAGTATATTGCCATAATATTTTACAATTTAAAAACCAAAGTATAATACAAAAACAAAATGTATTTTTAGTACAGGTTCACATAAAAACTAATAAAATTATATGAACTCAAACCAATGCATCATTAAAAATATATTACTTATCTCAGTACAATCTTAAATTTTAAATAATCATAGTTTTGTATAATAGTTAGGTTTAAAAATATGTTAATCTTAAGTGAATTTAGTTTACAATAAAAATAAAAGCTGTTTCTATCAAAAAGTATAGGAAAATCCTTTGATCCATCTAGTAACTTGTATTTTATCTAGGCAAAAAATAATTTTTTTGTATTTATAAAAGTAAAGAAAAGAAATAAAATCATACATATAACTAAAAGGTAGTACCTGTTTTCAGGATACTGACTATTTAATATTTAATATAACATAAWCATTATTAATTAAAATTAAGGAAAAACATTTGAACATTTAAATTTATTTAATAAGTTACCATAAACTATAATCAGTGTCTTCTTGATATAAAGTTAAGAAAAATCCTATAAATGTCAAATACACGACTATGTTCCCACACAATGTAAAATTACAGGCTGTCCATGCAATCTAAAAACAATATAACAAAGTTGAACAAAAAAATGTAATTTTGAAATACCTGACATATATAAAAATCAATATTAGAACTTACAGCATTAACTCTAGCCATTATTATGGGCAATGCAAATGAAGAGACCACTATACCCATTGTAATAAATACAGCTAAATCCATATTRGCATTACCAGATCCTGAGTAATCATTGAACCGTTTCATCAACATGGTCGGTAATGGTGCCAGCAGGTAAAATATTACTACTATGAATGGCCACCAAGAACTAAAACAAATTATTAATTATAATATACAATTATTCAAAAAATTATGTTAAAATACTATCTAAACTCTAAAGACCTAAAGTAAATAGTCAATACAAGTAATAAATAATAACTTACTTTAAATCTGGCAACGCACATGCCAATATGACTAATGTCATACCAATGGAACCAGCAAAAGCCAAACTCATCAAACTGTAAAAAATTATAACAATTAAAATGAATGTGCCTAACTAGAACATAATATTTTAAATTTAAAATGCTCACAGAGCATATAMACCAATTTTCAAATGACACATTTAATTTATACTTTTATCCATTTATCATTAACATAAATCTGTTTTATAATGTAATACAATTGACACTTACGCTATTTAACATCAAATTGATGTAACCAAGGARATCATGAAACAAAGAAAACACAATATTAATTTATATAATTGATACTTAATCTAAGAACTATAAAATTACAAACACTTATAATTTCTAYCATAGTTCTAGTAATAATATTACTCATRAGACAATACACTATTAACCAATTAAAAATACAATGTTCAATGCTATGTAGCTTTAAGTTCTCACTTTATTTTTGATACCAAAACATAAAAAAAATCCTAGGTTGATTAATTGATTTTATTTAACCAATAATAAGCAAATAATTTAGACTAGTCTTCTGTTAGCCTCTAATTTATTTTAGTATGCAGTAATATAGGTACTTAAATATTAGATTTAAAATATTTTAAGGATAAAATTATTAAACATGAGTATATATCATGGTTTTTTTCTAAGAATACTAAACTGACATATTGCTACTACAGAATATTTGTTTCAATACAGTTTTAGAACAAATTGTCAGAATAATTTTAAGTAATGTATTGATAAATGGTAGGGGGTCTTTGCAATAATTTGCTAATAGTACTCMAATAAATAAAATTGGTGTGTGCCACTCTAAATATGAACCAATGTTGCATTATTATAATATATTATTAAATTTTGAAACTGAAGTGTATGCATGAATTATTCTGTAAGGTCTCATATATATTTATTCTACTTTAAATCAAGACAAAATATTTCATACAAATTCCTACAAAATGCCCCATTTCTTTTCTTCATTCATCTTGCCAATCAAAAATGTTTCATTATTATGTATTATTTAATATTTCAAGATTCTTTTTCATTTTAATATCATCTTATGTTATAAATTAAAACTATTACATCTTAGTGTACTTCATGTATTTAAGCGCCTATTGGTTAAATCTAAAAAATTKTACTTTGTATAGCCACTAACGAATCATAGAAATACTACCGCAATAATAGTATTAAATATTACCTTTTAATCCGGCCATTGTGAACAACAAATGTCCAAAGTAATGCTGTGAGAAACTTACTGCGACTGACGACAGATATAGGTATGCTTAATTTTTATATTTTTTTGTAACATTCGTTAATGTAATATAATTTATACCACAACTATATTGTAGTCGATGATAAATACACAGAATAMAAAAGCGGATATACTAAGAATAAATGTATTTATTTTTATATAAATAATGAATTTTGTGCTTAAAAGACTAATAAAAAATAGAAAGAATAAAATTGATGGAAACAGAAAACAATAATAATGAAGTGCGACGTTCGTCGTCCAGAATCCACAAATAATAATTAATATTTATAACAGACGATAGACAATAGAATATAGAACAGAATAGACACTACACAATCTGACAATTCTATAATATATGAGTTAAAAGCATAATACTCTAATCTAAATTATCTCACATCCAGACCATACGTTATCATGTCGTAAACATTTGATTCGTACTATCAGCGGGCGACAGATACAGTGTTGTCATTTGTGTTTAATTATATTGTGGTCCGGTGGTCGGTGATGCCAGAATATGGATGGTCAAACAGTTTGACGCCACCAGACCCACAGATATTTTTAATAATAAATAAAATATACAAAATTAATAATATTAATAATATTGACTTCTACCGCAAACGCAATTATTACACGTCTTGGAAACTCGTCCAACCGACCGACCACGATTGATCGTTGGTACGACCGTTTTTTCCGCACCGGCCGCCATCTTAGGCCACGGCATGATTGTGCTTTTTTGATTTCCCGGTCCCTTCCACCACCACCGCCGCCGCCGCAACAAACCACTGAATTACACATTTACACATACACACACATAAACGTCTCACTGTCTCACACGGATACACACTCACACAAGCATTAATTCGTAACGAGTATTGTTGTTCGCTTTTGTGATTTTGTTTCACCATTTTTATTTTTCGTCAGTCGCCCCCCCGTCAGAAGTTTCTACTGAGACACGTATATAAATTCGTAGAACACATCGTTTGTTTTACATTAGTCTTACAAACCAGTGTACGTGGACGAATCCGGAATCACCGGAATAACCGATATCCATATCCAGCCTGCCCATTGATTTCGTTATAGACAATTTTCTAAAGTTTAAACCAAAACTAACGAAAACCCGTTGCTCGCGCAATATCTGGCCGTAGCTGACCTTATCAATAATCATGTCCGAACCAGCAAAAGGGTAAGTAAAAATTCCTGCTTCGATCTAAAATCCTCTCAAATTCATCTAGTCCGCACCTCTGTGTTTCGTTATTTTACTGTGACTTAACATGACTGTGTTGTCTCGATTCTCGGACTAGTTGTTGTTGTATTCGGTGGAATTCAGGCATCACACCGGATATATTTAGAAAATCAACTGGCGTATGCGGAAATACATTTTTCGCMATGATGATGATGACCTGCACTCAATTGTCATCTAACGACCATTTAAACAATAGATGTTTAAAAATGTTATTGGTAGTTGGTACTAAGAATAATTGTTAAAGACCATAAACCTAAATAATGAAATAACTAATTAAAGTTGTGGGATAATTTTTTTGTTTGTCACCACTTATAAATAAACATGTTTGTATTATTTTTATGTCATGGTACATTTTTAGACATTATTTAATATGACTAATTTCTTCATTTAATAAAATATTTAGGTACATTTTTCTCAATATTGTATCTWATTATTATAATATAAGTACGATACATCAGTATTTTTAATATAATTAAAACATCTTTAGTGAAGTACTTACGTACCTTTTTATATTAATATGCAATMAATAATTCTTTATTTTTAAAATACTAATGATATTTGTCACTATCAATTTCATGACTTATACAATTTTTATAGTTAAAACAATTTACGAAAACAATAATGTATTTTTTTACTGTAGGTACATTTTTAATTTRTATCAATGAAAAAATGTTGAGTCATTGAATTTATTTTTACAACTTTAATATTAACTATTCTGAACTACTTCATTAAAATGAGTGTACTGTTGTTACATATTAAATGACGTATTTTTAGTGAGGAGTTAGCAACTGCAATTTTGAAACAAAAAGATCGCCCAAATAGGCTCATTGTAGAAGAAGCAATCAATGATGATAATTCAGTCATTGCACTGTCTCAGGTACTTAATTAGAATAATTATTTAATCTAAAAATAATTCACAAATCTTACAACTCAGTTTAAGTTATGATTATTGACTTCATATAAATTTATTTTTTGAGAATGAATCTATAAATTGTTATTGATTATTATTCATATTTATATTTATTATTTATATTATTATTTGTTTTATATCTAAGGCTAAAATGGATGAATTACAACTCTTTCGAGGGGATACTGTGTTGCTTAAAGGCAAACGCCGTAAAGAATCAGTTTGTATTGTATTATCTGATGAAACTTGCCCTGATGAAAAAGTACGCATGAATAGAGTTGTGCGTAATAACTTACGTGTCAGAATATCAGATATTGTTCAAATACAACAATGTCCTGATGTAAAATATGGAAAGCGTATTCATGTACTTCCAATTGATGATACTGTAGAAGGATTAACTGGGTAAAATTCAGCTAACTTTTATACTTACATTTGTATTTATTAATTAGCCAAATTTTTGTTGTAGAAATTTGTTTGAAGTTTTTCTTAAACCTTACTTCTTAGAAGCATATAGACCAATACATAAGGATGATAATTTCATTGTTCGTGGAGGCATGAGAGCTGTAGAATTCAAAGTTGTTGAAACTGATCCATCGCCGTATTGTATTGTTGCTTACGATACAGTTATTCATTGTGAAGGGGATCCTATTAAAAGAGAGGTAACTTGAATTACTTAAATTAGTTTTACGTAGATCTGATAATTCAATTAAATCAATCTTTAGGAAGAAGAAGAAGCTTCAAACACAGTTGGCTATGATGATATTGGAGGTTGCCGCAAACAATTGGCACAGATTAAAGAAATGGTTGAACTTCCACTCAGACATCCAAGTTTATTCAAGGCTATTGGTGTAAAACCACCTAGAGGAATTTTGTTATATGGACCTCCTGGAACTGGAAAAACACTCATTGCTCGTGCTGTTGCAAACGAAACTGGAGCATTCTTTTTCTTAATCAACGGCCCTGAAATTATGAGTAAACTTGCTGGTGAATCTGAAAGTAACCTGAGAAAAGCCTTTGAGGAAGCAGATAGAAACTCTCCTTCTATTATTTTCATTGATGAATTAGATGCTATTGCACCCAAGCGTGAAAAAGTAATTTGATACATATATTTAACATCTGTTAACTATAAATTAAATACCTATAAATTGTTTACTTAGACTCATGGTGAAGTAGAGCGTCGTATTGTATCTCAGTTATTAACGCTTATGGATGGCTTAAAATCGTCATCTCACGTCATTGTAATGGCTGCAACTAACCGTCCAAATTCTATTGATTCAGCTTTAAGGCGTTTTGGACGCTTTGATCGAGAAATTGATATTGGAATACCAGATGCGACTGGACGTTTAGAAGTTTTGCGTATACATACTAAGAACATGAAACTTGCTGAGGAAGTTGATTTAGAACAGGTTAAAATAAATATACAAAATTGTTATTTTAAATTTATTTTCTTAATTTAAAACTTATTTTATTTTTTGTAACCAATAGATTGCTGCTGAAACTCATGGTCATGTGGGTGCTGATCTTGCCTCATTGTGTTCTGAAGCTGCTCTACAACAAATCCGTGAAAAAATGGACTTAATCGATTTAGAAGACGATCAAATTGATGCTGAAGTATTAAATTCGTTAGCTGTTACCATGGAAAACTTTAGGGTAATTTTAATTTACTTTAAACACATTTTTCTGAAATTCTAATTCAARTTCAAATTTTTATTACTTTTTTAGTATGCCATGGGTAAGAGCAGCCCAAGTGCTTTGAGAGAAACAATAGTTGAAGTTCCAAATATCACATGGGAAGATATCGGAGGTTTGGCTAATGTGAAGCGTGAATTACAAGAACTTGTACAGGTATGTTGTTTTAAAATTAGTTTACAATCTTTACTTGGATTAATAAATTGTTTTTATTGGTGTAGTATCCAGTTGAACACCCTGACAAGTTTTTGAAATTTGGAATGCAACCATCTAGAGGTGTTTTGTTTTACGGACCTCCGGGTTGTGGTAAAACTTTATTAGCAAAAGCCATTGCAAATGAATGCCAAGCCAACTTTATATCTGTAAAAGGTCCTGAACTTTTAACTATGTGGTTTGGTGAATCTGAAGCTAATGTCCGTGATATCTTTGATAAGGTAAATCCACTCAATAATTTCATTTTTTAACAAATTTTTAATGAGAATCTTAAACAGGCAAGAGCTGCTGCTCCATGTGTACTCTTTTTCGATGAATTGGACTCTATTGCTAAATCTAGAGGAGGCAATGTCGGCGATGCTGGTGGTGCAGCAGACAGAGTAATCAACCAGATATTAACTGAAATGGATGGTATGGGTGCCAAGAAGAATGTATTCATTATTGGTGCTACTAATAGGCCTGGTAAGCTCTTAGCTTTTAGTAATTTATTTTGATATTTCCAGCTCAAAAGTGAGATTAAATACTTATGTTTTTTATAGATATCATTGATCCTGCTATTCTCCGACCTGGGCGTTTAGATCAATTGATCTACATTCCTCTGCCTGATGAAAAATCTCGTGAAGCCATTTTCAAGGCTAATTTGAGAAAATCTCCTGTTGCCAAGGTAATTTTTTTATTTTAATTGGATTATTCAAAATGTATTTTATATATTTTGAAAATGTAATTAAATTAGGATGTTGACCTCAACTATATTGCAAAAGTTACTCATGGTTATTCTGGTGCTGACTTGACTGAAGTATGTCAACGGGCCTGCAAACTTGCWATTAGACAAAGTATTGAAGCTGAAATAAGACGTGAGCGCGAAGCTGCTTCAAACCAAGGAATGGAGGTATTTGTTAATTATTTTTTAATAAATTGAATTCAAAAATCCTAAAATTAATTTGTTACTAGACTGATGTAGCTGAGGATGATCCTGTCCCCGAAATTACAAAAGCTCATTTTGAAGAAGCTATGTTATATGCCCGCCGTTCTGTAACTGACAACGACATACGTAAATATGAAATGTTTTCTCAAACATTACAACAGTCTCGAGGATTTGGCACCAACTTCAGGTTCCCGTCAACAACTGGCCAGCCTGCTGCCAATAATGCAACAACTGGTGGCGATCAAGCTACGTTCCAAGATGATGGTGACGACGACTTGTACAACTAAGCTTGTTTTCCCTTCCCTCAAATAATAGATTTAATGTATATTCGAAGATTTAAGAATGATTCAAACATTTTTTTTTTTATATATATTTTAAAATAAAATGAAGAAATTTAATACACTTATGATTTATAAATATTTAAGTTTATTAGGTTTTTCTAATATTTGTATGTGGTTATACAGTAATAGGAATTAAAAAAAAAATGGTGGGATACAAAAAAAACTGTTACATTGGATTTTTTATTATAATTATTTATTTTTTCTTTTTATAAGAATTACTATTAATAAAATTTAAACAAATTACAAACACATATTAAAAGGAATAGTATTGCTTTTAGTTGGTAGATAACTCGAGATCRTATGTGTCCATGATCGCTGCCATAACATTCCAAAGTGTATCCTTGTCCAAGTCTTCAACCAATGCCTTGAAAAAAAGTTAAAGTCTTAATGATTCACACCATGAATTGTATTTATTTAACATAATATATTTTTATAAAAAAAAAATATGAATCAGGTATTAGGTTTTAGTAAGATAGCACACATAGTGTTATTTTTAATAATATACTTAATGATTTCTCATTTCTATCAAACTTTACAACTTATAGAACATAAGAAAACAATTTAAAGCAATATCCTAAGACGTCCTAAAGATTAAAATACATTCAAATAWGAATGTATTAAATGATCCCACATAATAATATATTCTAAGGTTATTAAAATATGACCAAAATTCAACAGCCCTGCTATGTTGTAACAGAAGAGGCATATCACTTCAAAATGATCGGTATCCTTTTAAAAATCAGCTAAAATATACATCAATTAAATTGTTCTCAAATTCCAATGGATCTTTCATACATTTAATTTTTGCTCATTTATTGTAGACAATATAATAACGTTTTTTGGCAAATAATTGCTAAAACGAAAAAAAATTTGAACTAATTCAATAACATCTTTTCGAATAAGAACAATTAAATACTAAAAAGAGTAAAAACAAGATGTATACCTGATACCAAGGTTGAATTGCATAATCAATTGTTTGAGATGGAATTCCATATACTTTGATTGCAAGTTCAATACAAGCAATTGCAATATGCTGTGCCTTAAACTGAAGAATATCACTGCTGTGATAAAAATCCTAAAAAAAATTAAACAATTAATTTTTAATTTTTATATCAATACATAATAGTAAAAATGGATGTATTAAGAAATATATAAGTAAAAAATATATATATATATGTATAAAACGAATTTAAACGTACATGTAAGAAATCATATGCCTTCTTAAATACAATGATGTCCTTGCCATGTTTTGAATAGAAAACTGGCCGTAGAGTCTGAATGTAGTGCAAAAAATACTGTAAAAATAATAAAACACTGTTAGGTATCAAAAAAATATGAAGAGAAATAAGGAGATCAACCGAAAGATATGATGAAACCAATATGTAACAGTTACATAAGCTCCAACTTRAACCCGCGTTGAGTAGAGATTATTCATGTTTTGAAGGTTTTTATTTTTGTTTAATTTATGCAATATTTTAAACATACAATGGAGTTTGAAAAGATATGGATTATTCTATATGTACATTTTTTTTTTTTACGTTAAAACGTGTAAATAATTAAATACAACAATATTTTAATACCATTAATACAGTAGGCAAACTATACATATATATCGTATATGTTTTCATAAATCATAATATTATTTCTCTATTCAGTAAACAAAATTGAGTTTTGACAACACAGACTAAAATATCTAGTCTATCATTACTAGGGCTGGGATTTAWATGTAATAAAAAACCAAAAATTTGTAATTAAAATTGGCAAAATGTGTTAAAATTTTAAATTAAAATACAATTATAAATAWTTTTTTAATAATTTAATTTATTGTTTTTTTGTGTATTATTAATTTAATTTAAAAAATATTTATAATTTGTGGTAAAAAATTAAAAAATATGTTGTTAAATTGAAATACAATTGATGTTTAATCAATTTAATGTGAAACAATGACAAACTATATATTGTTTTAAATTTTCAAAATTAAATGTACGTTAGGTGAATAKGTTTTCATAACCACGCAAACTGATAGTGTGATAGGTACTGTTGTAAATTCTCAAAAATATATTTTATCAAATAATTGTTGAATATAAAGTATAATCATTAATGTATGGTTATCGAACAGAAACAGATAAGATAAACTAAAATCAAATTTTTAATATTTATTTTAACCTACTTTATTCCTATATACAATGTTATTCACTTAAAATTTGTTGAGTACCATTATCAAAATATAAATGTAAAATATTATTAAACCACCGAAATTGTCAAAATTTACTAAATATCTAAAAAATAAGCAAGAATTTTACAAAGTATGTAAAAATATGTATTTATGACAAAATATGTAAAAATATGTCTTATTTTATTGTAAATTACGTGAAACTAATTTATTATGTTTTACTAAAAATATGTATTTACATACAAATCCCAGCCCTAACCATTAGTAACAAAACACTTATATGATAACAAGTGCTCAGTTTTAATAAGTACATTAATAATTTTGTACATACAATATGAATGCAGCATTTCACACGCAACCAATCAATGTGTGAATCATAGTTTAAATATTGCATATTTATATATATATATTCAAAAAGCCATAAAAACAAATATTTTCTATACTTCACGCGGGCTAAAGTAGCAAAAAATGAATCTACAGCACAGCTTGTGGCTATTTAATCAYGTGGCTCTTTACAGCACGTTAATCATGTAAACAGCCATATGTGTTTGGTCTCTTTACTTAAGTGTCTAATGTCTATAAAAAAAAAATATCTATGTTTGTGAAATAAAATTAGTTGAATAAATATAATTACGTTATGTGGATGATCAACAGTTGTATCAAATTTTACAAATCTCATGATTAACATTTCAGCATGCACAATGGAATCCCGGAAGTTCCAATAATCTTCAGCTAAGCGCAATGGAGCTGCATCCCTGTGTAATGTGTGGTAACACACATTTATCAAATCTCGAAGTCTGATGGTTTCATCTTGTACTTTACTAGCCAAGTATAAAGTTGCACTAGCTATAGACTGTAAAAACATATACAACATTAAAATCACAGTACAACAATATTTGTATAATATTATATTTGTACAACAATTTGAGACATTTTAATACATAGAATTGATCTAATATTCAATTTTATGCAGGCGCTCACCAAAACAACCTGACACCATGATAACATAAGTGATTTGTTATTTTATATGACCTGGTTAAAAATATATTGTAACCTGACAAAATAAAATTATATAATCACTTGGGATATACTTACATTAAATAAAATTGCTGAAAATATTATTAATACCACCAATAGTTATCAGTATTATTAATAATTACACTTACGTTTGGTGCCTCAAATCATACAGTGTTGTAACAATAATTTTATGCAGTTCAATAAGTGTGATAATGCAGATGKAAACAAACTTTTTAACTCTTATAAATATTTTGTATAATATTCTGCGTAAAACCAAAAAACCCGTTAAACAACAAGTTCAGATTATAGGTATACAAATTTTTTATTTCTAATTTTTTTTATGTATAAATATAAAAAAATCTGTAAAATAAATACAAACTATCATTCATGTATAAAATGCAAAGTCTAATAAATAATTAATCATTTTCTCATTGATGAATTATAAAATAAGTTTTAAAAAAACTATTACAATACACTCCATAATATTTAGATTTTTCATTTTTTGTATGATCAATTATAATAAATATATTACAATAAGTGTAGGGATTCATTTTAATTTTAACTAATTTAGATATTCAGTTTATCAACAATTAATTCATACCAGTAGTCGTATTATTTAAACTAAATATATATTTCAAACAATGTCGTAACTTATACTTTAAAAATTAATATGCACATTATATATTGTTTAGGTCAATGACAATATTCAGCACGATATTTATGTTCATTAATATCATATTTTTATTTTTTACATATTTTATATAACTGTACATATTATACATGGCTAGTCTGTATTATTAAAATGTATAATAAAACACTTAAAGGACTGATCAGTATTATTTATCTCATTATTCATTAAGTAAAATTCTATATTGGGTACTTATTGATCTCATACAATCATAAAACTATGTTATGTACCATTAATTATGTTATACCATTTGTTTCCTAGACAACCATTTTTCATTGTTGTATGAAACAAACATTATAAAACTTTAATATATATGTATAAAAAAAAAAAAAAAATACTACACTAAAAATTAAGATTAAAATAGTTTTTTCTAATATATAAATGTTGTGTATGAAAAAATGTAACTTGATCATAGGCGGCATCTAGGGAGGGCATGAGGGTGCAGTTGCACCCACGAAAATTTTTTTGGGGGGCAAAAGAATAATTTTGCACCCACACACAGACAATCACAACAGTAAAAAATATTTTAATTATTTTGTTGTTAATAATTATACTGATATAATGTAATTTTGATAGTAAAAAAGCGGGAAAGTGGATCTGCTGTACAGTAGGTAACAAGTGTGAAGTGGGTTACTGTAATGGATGGAATTAAATTTAAATCCAATGATATTATATCATTGTATACAAAAAACGATTCTGAGCGAAGACGGTTTATCTGTCTAGGATATATTATA